GTTCACACAGCCTTGTTGAAGGTATGCCTAACAGCAACGTGTGAGAATTACAATCCCTGTACTGCATGCAGCAGTGCTCATCTGCTGCTGGACTTGATAGATACCGCCTTTGGCCATTCATGTTCTGCAACGGGCTGGATTCTCTGAGTATGTCTCTTTTTTGCCTGAAGTTGGCATGCAGGCAAAAGCACTGTTTTCTTTGCAAATCTCAGTATAATCTGACTGGCCTTCACGTCACCCGAGGCACTTATATTTGTATCACCTAAACTAGGACTCTACTTGTGTGCCCTGAAACTTCCCCCCAAACTGGTTGGAAATGAGAATATACTCTTTGCCTTAGCATCTGAAAGACAAGTTTTAATGCCTGGAAAGTGTTTTGTGTGACAGTCCGTGTAAAAGCCCATATTACTATTCCTTAACGTGTTCCTGCAGCATGTGTGTGAACATAAGCAAAACAAAATCAAAGCAAAGAATATATTGTCGAGGAATCCGTCATATTCAGCTAAAGTTATAGGAAGAGACATAAACTTGGCTTCGACTCACCCTGATGATGACTTTATAACCGGCAGCCTATAAAAACTCATTCCAATAAACAAGCCACCAATAAATCCACTTCTCAGAAGTTCCTGGGCACTGAGAAATGAACTGAATACAGCTTTTATCCCATCGCTGCAGACTGAAGGTGTAAGTTCAGCTGCTCACTACATCGGTGCCAACCCATGCTCATTCAAGTTGTCCTTTTTCGAACTAAACCCTCTGGCAGAGCTTAATGAGGTTCCTGTAAGAACTTTAAGCAGAGGAAACAACATCCTGAAGTTTGGCTTGGCAGTGTAAAAAGACTTTAGCATAACAAATATGAAGACTTACTGTAAATAGCCCAATAGCTCATTTTCGGTGCACTCTAAAAGTCTGAAAAACAAACTCTCCTTATAGGTTACAGTCTTTATTTCTATGTTAGCCTTCATTAAGCTTTAGTTGAGCTTCAGTAAGAATACTTTAGAGCCTGCACATTTAAGTGCTCGTGTTGTTGAAAAAAAGAAATTGCAATTATAGTGATAATAATGTTAAATGCCACTATGCTGCAGCCATTCAGTATTATTATATAGTTGTATAAATAGATTACAACAGTATTATTACAACATCAGGAATACATGACTACATCACTTGTTTACCTGCAAACTGCACATGAGAGCAAAATGTGGTCATATGTCTTGTGGCCTGACTGAACGTATCAGTGTTATTTGGACAGATTTTAGGAATGTGCCACCGATACTGAAGCAATGAGCTTTCACTATGCTGGTTTCACCAACCTAGTTTAGACAGCTGGGGGAGTGCGTCTGTTCACGTCATGTCCACATGTTCAAGTCCACATTATTTAGCTCGGTGTCGTCAGCATTTCTGGTGACAAACAAAAAAACTCCAAAAACAAGCTTCCAGAGAACCAAGATCAATATGCATTACACACGTTTGCAGCTGCCAGCAAGTTTAAAATTAAATTTTAAATGAGAAGTCCACACAGAATCACACATTGTCAAAATTATGCTGCTACACAGTTCTCTGTAGTCTGTAACCTTCAAACGTTTTGCACCTCCGGCCACAACCCCAATAAGTGGTGTCAAAGCAGGTGTTTTCCATCAGCTGTCAAAGTCAAAACACCTGCAGTGATGTCACTGGTTGGGTCAACCCAATTTATTCAGTGCAGATTAACCTCTTGAATATTTAAAAAAAATATTTTTTTTCACATCATTCATATGTGTGATAATAAAACTCTACTCACAGACTTAATTGCAAAAAGAAAAAGAAAAAGGAAAGCAGCAGCATTTCCACTATGAAAGCAAGGTGGATGGGTTGTTTTGGGGGAGAAGTCAAAATAAGAAAATTCAGGCAATGCAATTATTTTGTATATTGTCTTTTGAGAACACCTGTTTATTATTCAAATTAAACTTTAAGGTATAGGCCTCCAACAGTTTTGCATTAACACAGTTTTTTTCCTTGCAGGAGCACAGACTTTGGTTTCAATATCAAAGTGGTGTTGATAATATGTTTAAATTGGGGATTTATTTACAACCTGTGCGATGAACTGGCTCACTTGTGTTACTTACGTCACTGGACTCCGTCCTAGTAATGTAGACGTGTCCTCCGATCTCAGAAACTACTGACTGTCCTGCCACCGGCAATTGGTTTCAGTTGAGTGTTCTGTTGCAACCAGTATTGGCAACATTCCAGCAGTTTAACTGGTATGATTGCATCCAATTTTTTTGTCAAGAATCTTTTATTTACTCCCCAAATGCCCCAGTTGTACCATTATAGGTACTTTCAAAAAATACTTTTGTGATTGTTGATTTGAGATTTACTTTTCCTGTAAACAGTTTTTACTGCCACGCAATTACAGAAATAACAGGTTTCTCAGTCAAATAAAATGATTGAATTCTTAGATAAAATACAAATGAATACAAATAGTAATCATGTACAGCTTTTTAAATAGTTAAAGCAGTAACTCTGTACCTCCCACATGAGCTCAGCCAACCACCTTTTACTCTATTATTTCTTTAGTATAACATGTTTGCCCTATAGGCTAATAATGCTCACAGAAGGGGGTTCCACTTACATCAGTGACTATTCTAACAGATTCCCACTAGAGGGCAGTCTCTACCCAAATCAGTCCTCGGCCTGTCCTTCCAAATGCAGCAGTCCCGCTGCCCGAGGACATCATTACACACTCAATAAAGCAATAGTCAGTCATTTTCTCTGCTTAATTGATCCCACTGCTAACCAATAACACGTGGTGTGACTTCTTTACTGCAGCAGCCTGCCTCAGAGTGCAAGAAACAATTTGTAATTATCTTGTTGTTTCGTTCTTGCATGACCAGCCATCTGTAGGCAGCATGACTTGTTGGTCAGCGGCCGAGGTCAGGGGCTCAGCAGTGCATTCCTCCTGGAGCTGTCTGTAGGGTTGTAATGACATTGTCCTGGTATTTATCAGGGCTTGTGAAACACTCGTCTGGAGGACAAGAACACAGCACGCTCTTACCCAACCCCAAACAATTTGAGAACAGATATGGAACATGACAAAATCGTGAACAAACACAAGGCAGGTCTGATTAGGTAATGTTTATGTTTACTATGCAAGTCGAGAGCACACTGTCAGTCCCTCTCTCTCACACTCACACACACACACACACACACACACACACACACACACAGACATACATGCACAATTATACTAATGACACTAATGTGCATTGCACATTACATATTTAATATGACAATAACTTTAATTGGTACAAAAAAACATATTGTAGTAAGACATGAATATTATGTAGACATAAAGCATTAAACAACAAGCATTGCCATCTATAATGTCCAATCCACTAATCTATTAATCTAAACCTATGCAGGGTTGCAGGTGGCTGGAGCCCGGTACACCCAGGACAGGTCACTAGTCTATCCCAGGACTACCACAGACAACCATTCACAGTCACATCAACTACAACTACAATCCTACAATTTAAAGTTTCCAATTTGATGAACCAGAGCACCCAAAGGAAACCCAAAGACGGGGAGAACATGCAAGGCCCCACAGCCCACAACCCTCTGGCTGCAAGGTGGCAGTGCCAACCTATGCACCAACAACAAGTTATTAAAGGGAAAATCTTTTACTTTTTTAATTGGCTGTGACTCTTCAAACCTATTCACAATCAATTCGAGAGCAAAATAATTACTATTATAAAAACTTTATTGCATTGCATAATTAGCCTGTGCTGATGCTACTATTGACTACATTAAACATATTCAATAGAGGCAGGCAAGATGGATGAAAGCACACAAGAAAAAAAAACAATAAAATGCGATGCTGTCAACTCTCATCACAAATTTTCACAAATTAGCAAGACCGACATGTAATCGTATCTTTGTGTGTGTTCCTGCAGCCTCCCTCACTCAGCCACTCCTTGTGCTGTCAGCATGGCAGCAGGGTGGAGTCAGCGGAGCTGCACATGTTTCAAGTACGCTCTGAAGCTTCACTCCCTCTCTGTCTATCTGCCTTCCCCTAAATGCGTGCATGGCTAAGCTGAAACAGAAAAGAGGAGGGCCCAGTGAGTGTAACCAGCTATGCTTTTTACCAATCAAAGGGGTTTCCCCACCCTCTCTGACTGCCTCCCTCCCTTTTTGCTCAGCCCCTCTGTCTCTAGGCACACCAACCAAAGAAAAAAAAAAAGTGCAGGGAAAAAAAAGTGATAAGCAGCAAGCTGCTTCTGGGTTTTGCTTTCAAGCTCACTCTCGCTGAATCGGCGTGAGTGTGTGTGTGTGTGTGTGGGGCGTTCACTCTTTCTCCTGCCACAGTAGCAACACATTGCAACAGCGTCTGCCCCGAACAAAAGGCTAAACGCAGCAGAGCCGCAGGAGGAGAAACTCAGGGATAGAAGCAGGCAGAGTCGCCCAGCGTGACTGCACCTCTCAGGGGGGAACTCAACCTGCCATTTAGCCTTCCTGGTCCTGGAGTGGAGACACTAGACCAGCCCAGGCTGAGCTGAGGAAAACACCCTGTTAGTGTTTTGTCTTTTACTTTGTCTTTCTTTCATACACCTCAGTCTCAGTAGCCCTTTACTGAGATTCCTGCACCTGCCCTTCATCACCTGGGCGTCTTTCCTTTCCATCCACCTGTGCTAAGAGATGTCAGACGATGACTGCCTCTCGCCCATCGGCCTGGACTGTTGCAGTTGCTGTCTGGACCTGGCCAATGGCTATGACTACTCCATGGCCAGCAGTCCGGCTCAGGGCCTGCCCGGAAGCCCCACCAGCCCCAGTGTCAATCACTTTCGCCAGCTCCGTAGCCAGCTGATGTACCAGAACCTGAACACGGACAAGCTGAACAACATCATGAGGCAGGACTCCCTGGAATCGGTGGTGAGGGACCCCTGCTTCCTGCTGAACGAGGGCATCTGCAACAGCAACATTGACCAGACCATGCTGTCTATACTGCTCTTCTTCCACAGGTATGTCTGTTGTTTGCTTAGCTGACAGGTACACGCTTATCTAATAAGATTACGACTTGATATAGAGGCTTATGTCATTAGGAGATGAAATTTGAACTTGTTCTGAAAGTTATTCTCTTTGGAACATTTAGTAATAAATACAGTTATTCTGAAGCAACAGTTTGTTGTCATATTAATTTTCACTTTTTGTGAGGAAGAGAATGTCCTGCTACAAAGTTGCTGTCAGTCGGATAATTAGTTTGGCAGCTTGCATTCAATGATCTCAGCCTCAAATTACCAGTTACCATCTTTCCAGTCGGCCACAGTTTTGACCGTCGCTGAACTCCTGAACCCAAGCCAGAAGTTATTGTACAGTATTTACTTTGAGAAGCTGTGATTCTTTGGTTATCGGAGCAGTAAAATGCAGAGATCGAAAAGGGAAACAGCAGTAAAGACTACAAACACCTGTTATCATCGTAAGAGTCACCTTTGAATGTCATACTCTGAAGTTGTCATCATTTGTGCCAGTAAAACAGAGATATGTGTTAAAGGACATAACAAATATCTCAGACATACGTATGTTTAATGATAATCTCTCAATAAAAGAGGGGTTTTCTTTTTGGTTTATGGTGGTGTACAGAAGGAATCTCGTTACTAGAAGTGACTTTTATAGCTATTGAGTTTTTTCCTCATTTCCATTTCCTCATTATAAAAAGCATATACAACTAGTTCTTGTTCCATTAATATTAGTATTTCAACCAAATATTTAAAAAAGTATTCACGTAAAAAAGTCTATTGAATTATATTAATTCTAATTTAAGTTTTTTTAATCCTGGTATTATTAAGTAACCTATCTCAGGTAAAATCCCATATTTGGTCAGAAAGAAAATCTGTGATGGTGTTTATCCTGATAAGATGTGCCTGGAACATAGTAATGGTGTTTGTTATCATAGATTCAGTTTATTGCAGATGTTATCATATCAGCAATGTTCTGTTGCCAAGAGACATTATCAGTTATCAAAGTTATCAGGAGCCAAGCTGCCAAATAAGTTACATTTTAACCAGCCTTAACTTTGCTGTATATTTGACATACTGTTCATATCTCCTGTGGTGATGATTGATACCGCTTGATTATTAGACCCTACAATAGAAGTAAAACCATTTACTGTGCACAACTTGATTCTGCAGCTTTTATCTATCGATACTTATCAGTGCAGCATTAAGCAGTTGGAAAAAAACTATTGTTTTTAACACCCGACACATTGCAGTATACAGCAGGGTTTAACTCTGTCTGACGCACTCGCTTTATTTTTCCATCTTACATAACAGCGCGTTAAATTCTCTTTAATTTGACACGGTTTCGGGGGATATCGTTCTTGCTGTGGAGCTGCGTTAGTCAATGAAGGAACAGACTGGTCTTGATTTATTTACGATAGTGAGGGTATGTCATTATGATTCTGAGGATGAAGAACAAGGGGTGAAGAAACTTTGGATTCGGACTGCAGCTCAATACTTTGAACATGTTCTTAGACTTGAAGTTGTACTTGGAGATGCTCAGGTGAGTTATTATTCACTGCATTCGGTGTACACAGTGTCATGAGTAATGCCTGCTGGCAGGGCTTATTTAAAGGTGTAACAGTGTTTGTCATAATGACACAGCAATACGTTTTCGCTTCATGCTTTTCTTCACTAACCACAGAGTTACATATCTTGATCTTGTTCACCTTATCTATTCATGTAAAAAATGTATCTGCAGTTCAGATGTAAAATTATACACATGATTGGCATTTCCTTGGGCAAGAGAAAAATCTGAATGTAAGTGCCAATGTCTTTTTTGCCAGAGGCAATGTGTTCACTCACGCCATGCATCTGTCTGCGCCAGCTCAACTGTTTACCTGACAAACAGAGTCTTTAAGCAGAACACTTTGTTCCTGAACCTGCCCTTCTCAAGAGGGAATCACAGACACGGATCATGTGGCTTTCGTGGATAAGCTTTCTCGCAGGATTTAAACATTGCTTTCAAACGTGTGCCCTTTACGTTTTTTTCATGCAGAAACACAAACGCACTCATTCATTCACACATGTGCTTGCAGTCTAATCCTGTCAGTTGAAGCAAGAAAGCTGACTTGCTAAGCTGAGGTTTGCACAAGTTCATAGATTTTTTTTGAGTGCATGCTTCGAGAGGGCCCGGCTCCTGATGAAAGCCTGGCCGAGGTTTATATGACCTCACCCTGGGTGGTCAATCCGCCGAGCAGCCATCATACCCATTTGCCACTTGTTAACAGAATGAGAGGTTCAGCATAGCACGGCGAAGCATGCCAGGACATCTTTTGGGCTTGTTGAATATCAGTGAGAGGCAGAGGCTGTGGCCAGCAAAGTTGTTATGTAAATGATTCGAGGGTCACAGAAATGTGCTCAGAGAGTGCTCAGAGAGTTTGACGTTTGAGGCAGAGACCTGTCATGAAACCAGAGAAAATGGCACTCTTCCACACCTTCACCTCAGGCAGTCAGTCTGTACTTATCAGTCACTAAACACCATCACATGGCAGGGTGAAGAGGGGTGAAGAGCCTGCAGCGATCACACAGGACTTCAGGTCTTTGACCAGTCAGTCAGTAAGCAGTCAAAATACAAAGGGAAAAGAACTTAACGGCAGCACAAACGATGTCACAAAGTGTCAAAGACCTCATAAAAGAGTTTTTCTCTGCAGCAGTAACCAATGTGACCACATGACAGGGCTGAAGAAGAGTTTGCACCCTTCAGCCTGCAGAGCTCCCTCCAGGTTTATAGACAAGACAAAAAAAATGCATTTAGTAGAGTGCAGATCTCCGCCAGGTGTGTCCGCAACAGCCACTGTTGTAATGTTTGATTGAATGAATACAAACCTCAATCATCGAACCCTAGACTGCAAACATGTCAGGTATGTTTTTTCCTCGCACGTCTTACGCAACAGATCCGCTCTCATTTTAATCCATACAGCTGCCTGAACCGGCTCTGTGCTGGTTTGCGTGCCAACTGCATCTCACAGGTGTAACCACGACCTGAGGTGTTTTACGCGTCAAGTCTATTTCTCCGATCTTACATGCGTACACACAAGATTAGAGTCAGCGCTCGGTCCAATTTGTCATTTGCTAAGCGGTAGTTACACATACATAAATACACAGATGCAATTGACTTATCTAGCCGGGAAAATGAATGGAGGAACAATAATTAATCCGTATGGAAGCAAGAGTCCAAACTGAAGCAGTTATTGATAACTTATGGCCCCTTATGGCCCCTGGTTAAGAGTAGTGAGGAGTCAACAGTCATTGAGGGAGTAACACAATAAAACAAAAAATGTGAATCACCGCAACCAAGGGAGTGCCTTGAGCATACACTTATAAATGAACACAAAAAAATGATGCTGGTTGGTCTAGCAGTATGTGAGATTAGCTGTGGACAGACGGACAGAAACAGAGATGGACACGCACAGACACGACTGAATACATAATCTTCTGGAGGAGACAATAACAAGTGTCGGCAAGAAGTTGCATGGCTGAAATTTATTTCCGGATTGGAGGCGAGGTTCACGTCATGTCACCTGTTTGTGCGTTGTATGATAAATTGTTAGTGAAATGATTCTGATAGGGAAGTTTATAACCTCTTTTAGGTTTGATGTTCTGATGTGACATAAGTATGTATTCTTCTAACACTCTGTTGCCTTACAAGCCTCGGCCTCATTACAGTGTTAAAAGTTCCTCACTTTGGCCTGAGATGATCTTTGGCTTGGGTCCAGTTGACTACTGAACATGACCGAGCCCTCCCACAACGGAGTGGAGACAGGATCCAGCTGTGCCAGAGACCCCACTGCACTTTAAAGCTTCACCCTGTGATCAAAATAAAACACGAAATAGCTTTGCAAAGTCCAAGACCTACATTTAGTGATCCACTGTGGAGGTTAGGGGAAGTGTATTTTCCATGTGTAAGCCGTCCAGGAATCCATACAAATGTATATTTAACAATTCCCAGAAGAAAATGATGTCTGTGAAACCACAGGAGATGTTTGTAACCCAGAAAAACAACTTCCATCTCAGTCTGCATTATTGCTTAATAAGTCGGTTTCATATTTTAGTTTTAGTACATTACGGTCATTCATTTCTCTAAAATAGAATATGATCATAAGGTTATACCTTCTTTATCTTGGATATGACTGTAGAGGGACCTGTTGAAATAATTTACATGTAGGTCACACCAATAAAAATATCTCCTGTCAGTCAAGGTAGAGCTGAATACAGGGCAGTTCTGCCTGCACAGTTTTTGAGGGCAAATATTTGCATAAAAGACTAGTTATAAAAGAGACACACTTTTTGGAGAAGTTACAGCCATCATAGTGCACCCAGTTCCATGCCCTTCTCTGGATGTCCTTGTTGTGTACAAATGCTTTCTAGACTTGCTGCGTTACTATTGAAAAGTGGGTGTAAACAATGTGTATTCAGGCTTGTTCTGCAGATAACATTGTGACAGTATGGAAACACAAATCAGGTAGGGACGGGAAGACGTAAGGATAAGGGAAACAAAACAGTGCTTCCTCTGTATTCTCCACTGCTGTAAAATTGGCAGACAGATGCTATACAATGAAAAGCATCTTCAGAGTATCGGCCACACTCATCACAAACATACAGCACAATTACGGCACCATTGCCTGTGTATTACCATATGTAAGATACTACAAGCTGTAACAGTCGAAGGGATCAGAGTGAATCTGCACCAGTGTTGAAATTCAAACTTCCCATCCCTTCTACTGCTACAACGCAATCACTAAGACAGAGAGCAGCATGATCTAAAGTTCTGCATAGATACAACACAATGCATTGCGAGTGAGGCTGTTTTGCCCACATCAAAGGCTTATACATGATAAAGACATCGTTGCTGATGACAGCACCTGTGTCCAATTTCATTGTTTTTGATCCAAGCTCTTCTTTGCAACAAAATTAAACTGTGTAACTTGGTGGACAAATGGGTCCTACAGACGTTTGCAGAGAGTTACATAACTTCATGGGTTGGAGGTGGCAGGAGACACAGATGCGGACCATATAACAGGGATTAGTGGTGAGAAGGCTGTTGGGGTGGAAGAACAGATTCATGGCCAGGCAAGTCTTAGGAGTTAATCCATAACAAACAAAGGCCACAAAGGCGAGGTCTAAGCAACGTCAGGGTAGGGAGTGGGAGAGCTACAGGGAGAGGCAGCTAGAGAGAGAGAGTCAGCGATAGACAAACGGCCAGACAGGAGGCCGTTGCAAAGACGAAACATCGACAGGACTTGCTAAAAATAGTGTGCTGTTGACGTTAGATAGAGCTCTGATATGTATGTAGACTGCAGACGTCTGTGGTTAAAGTCACAACCTTTTTCTATAGTTAAAGGAAGTCATTCTTTAGGGGGCAGCACGAAGCGAAAAGCCATAATACGTGTTTGATTTACAGATGTTTTTATGGGTTTCCTAAATAACACAGGCTTTAAACCACTTCTGTGTTGAAAAGAGACAGAGCAAGAGATTGATTCACAATATTAGTAATTACTAGATTTTCAAACACATGTTGGTATTTGGTGTGTTTTCCCCGCGACGCAGCCCTGTGCCTGATTTTATCACTGAGGGAGCAATTTAAAGAGGGATGTACAATAATGACTTTTTAATGGACCTCTTGAGTTACAGCCTTGTTGTGTTGAGACTGCGTGAATAGGCTGCTCTTGGTGCCATGCCAGTCGATTCCTGGAACCACTGTTGACTGGTTTGCATGCAAGTGTATTTGTATGTATATGTGTGGGTGTATGCGAGTACTCTACAGACCTCCACTAGTGGATTCAACACTGTCTTATTTCTATAAAGTGGGTATCAAGTTGTACAACATACATTTACCCCGAAACTTAATTCCCAATGCAATTTCATTGTATGGGAACGTAATCTTTTGGAGACAGTTCTGTCCAAACACCACTTCAGCAGACAGATCAGTGTGTGTCAACTGGGAAATCCACCGACACACCCTGTACCATAGGTTGATGCAACCTCTTGTGTACGGCTCTGCATGTCTTTACCAACACCGCTACGGTTCCGTATTCGGTTTCCCCTAGCAACACATTAACATAATTTGCTAATCATATTGCAGTCACAGTAACTCTTTCTGTGCACTTTACTTTGATTGCCGCAAACGTTTCTTTCCGTGTTAATAACCTTTTATATGATGGTTATAAGAATCAGAGAATCTTATATTCCCCGTCCCTTTGATAGAGTTTTGTTACTTTGTTGTTTTACAAAATACAACAGACCCATCAGATTTCTAACAAGTTCCATGAAGTGTTTTTGACAGATAATTTAATACTAGTATAATACTAAGATATAATACAAGGTCTGGCAATATTCAATATTTTGTGATCCTACTTACAAGTATTATTTATCAGTATGTTTTCAGTATGAACAAATGGGCATGTGGCTGACAGAACAGGGAAAGATAGACTAATGGATTGTTGATTTTGGTCTTTTCATGGAAATTGTTGACAATAACAATTACAGCCAACCTTATTCTTTTAGTCATTAGAAAGGCTCCATGGTGACCTTGACAGCAAATATGTTTTATTTTTATTATTAAGCCCGTCAATCTTTTAATCAAACAACCCTGTACTCATTGACAGCTGCAAGGGTAAGGAATGAGTAACTTATCTGTCTGTCCTGAAGACGTGAGAAACACTCTATGGCAACGCACACACACACATATAAACACACTTACTGTACAGTATACAGTACACAAAGGTGACCCACAGCATTATGATGTTGTTGACACATCACCACAGCAGAACCCAGCTAAGCTCCTTTGTCCTGAGAGACAGAGTGGAGATGCAGTACGGTATGTACCAGAGGTGGATTAGAAATCCATAAGGAACTCATAACGTTCGCCATCCTCAACATGTGCTGGAAAACATCTTCAAGAAAGGATTCACCTCTAAACGTATTTAGTCACAATGTGATTATGGAAAAATTACCCAAAAAATAATTTTGACAAAAGTCATTAAACACATGAAAAAGAGATCCAACATGTATCATAAAAGTGCTTTGATCAGCCAGAATCTACTTACTGCTTACTGTGTGCATCTTCATAAAATACACTAAATATACACCTAATACCCTAATAATAAAAAACAAAAGTAATTCAATGGAAGTGAAAAATAAAAGGGTCATGCTCTGATTGTGGTTCTAGTGTCAAGGACATACTGGGCTCTTAGTGTTGTGGTCATGGAGCAAAATGTGTCCAGAATAATGTTGTGGTTTCTGTTTAAATGTATTTGTACCGAAGGCTCAGCCTTGCCACATAAACATGACTTTAAAAAAAACAATGAAGAATTCCTGGAGCAAGTACATGCAAAAGAAGTATGGATTTCAGAACAATGAAAAGAAGGAAGCATTATTTAAAAAAATAAATTCCACAAATACTTCAAAAGAGGGAAGCATTACCGCCCATCCATTAAACCCTTTCTTCTTCTTCCATGCTTCATGTTTGTGGAACTCTCTAAGTCCTTCCCTCTTTTATTTTCCACATCTCTTCCTTCTGTCATTATCTTTTCCTCCCTCTCTCTGTCTTTTTTCTTCTTCATTCTTTCTCCATCTCAGTTGTTTTTTGTCTATGATACTTATGTAAGTCTGAGGGAAATGGGGGGGGGGGGGGGGCAGTGACCCTTGGCTTGTGCCAGCGGCCTTATCTGTTTGGCGCCTATTTAGATAATACGGCAGCATGTCAACACTTTCATCACACACACTCCCACACACACACACACACACACACACACACACACACACACACACACACACACACACACACACACACACACACACAGCCCTGTATTTGAGGGTGAGTTATAGTGTCAAACAGTCAATATGTGATAATTACACAAGGCATTAGTCAGTAATACAGCTTGCGTCTTTCTCTTTTCATCAGACTGCAGCTCGCACTCGACAACCTGCACCTTCAGACAGGCAACGGAAAAAATATGTGTATTGTCTTCAGTATAGTTCATGGTGTAGATGCAGGGAAGCTCAAATAATGGAGTTATAAGAGTTGCACACCCTGTACCACCCAGGCCGAGCGGTGCACTCAAATTTTCATTCTGTGCTATTTTGAATGGCAAGGTTTGGGTTTCCCGCTCTGACTTTTTCTTACTCTGCTTGAGAAGTGAGAATGTGGTAACCCAGCTACTACGGGCCAAGCTAAAGTTTGGCTGACGTGAGGAACAGTAGATCTGGAGTGAAAACAAATGTTTTTCATGTCCAGACCATAAAAGTTTGACTGACTTTAAACATGTATCCAAAATGAAATAGTTTGTACTAAAACTCAACATTACATTTTATTTTTTTTCCCCAGCATCGCTTAGAAGTATACTGGCAGACTTAATTTCAGATTCATTCTGATGCTTATTCCATCTGTTTCTCTCTGGATGCCTGTTCCATAATCCCAAGTGCTGTTGTCAGTTTTTCTCTTACCACAATAGTCTGCGACACAATGCAGCCAGACAGTGCTTTTGTGGAATGGGACTGAGCCAGGCCTATCATTAGCCTTATGTTATTCTCCCTGGGCACTATTCACATGCAGGTTGGGTACATGATGTACCCTGGGTGCACACACACACACACATACACACAGACATAATGACACATGTACACAATAGAAAGGGACTAAAGTGCAGGAAAATTAGAAAGCACATCAGAAATCATCTTTTCTCAGCTCAGAGCAGCCTTATCAAATATCCATGAGTGTGCATACACACACACACAGCCACACAAACACTGATGTGTTTCCCCCTGCAGGGCACAGAGCTAGTATTAGACATACTTTAGCAAAGGTGTTGCCACAGCCCATTACTGAGAAGTGCTCATAGTCTCTGGGAAAGAAAACAATTACCTCTCAGAGCTTCTGCAGGTCATGAGGACATGCTTTCTAGAACACAGGAATGGTTGCAGCACTAGGACCAATCGCATGTTACATTTTTTAAGTTACTGAACATCTGCAGTTTGGCAACATGCTGTGCTTCTGTTTTCAGTAAACAATTCTGAGTTCTTGGGGTGGATGTGTAATCTAACAGAGAAGAAGAGTAATGTTTCCCAGACGTGACTCTCTCGTAATGCAATAAAAAAATAAATGTGTAATTGGATTTAAAATGGAGTTTCTGACATCTGCTTCCCATCACACAATCATATCCCTAATCTAATCTACAGTACCTGAGTGGTGTTTCAACACCCACCACCTTAACCTCACTGTCATCCATAATTGCATCATTAATTTGGGCTTTTGCACAACATTGAGAGAATATGAAAGAATAAACAAGTGAGAGACTTAACACAGCTCTCTAGCTGGGAGCAGAACATTTTAGGCAACCTGCTCACACCCTGGTGCAATAAGTTTGTTTCATCATTGTATGCAATAAGCGTCTTTGCTAAATCAAGAAAACATTTATTTTTTTCTGTGGGCAGAGGCAGTGCTTGGTAGAAATTGAATGTAATAGAACTGCCACTCTGAGTTACAGTTAACAGTGTACATGCTCTAAAAAAAAAAGCCAAATGACAGGCACATCCAAATGAACCATACTCAAACTCAGACTTTAGTGTAATGAATATGGTTCGTTACTGGTGCCTCCAAATTTCCAAACTCATTGGCTTCAAGTGTTCCTGCACAGCTGGGGAGGAGCTCAGAAAAACAGAAGAAACTGGAAAACGAAAAACAAAATGTACCAATTTCTTTCCGGGATGGGCAATGCAGTTATCATGGTGAGTCACCGACCATGAACAAATAAAGCTGTTTATATGGGCACTTTATTGCATACAACCATGGCTCTTAATATCAAGTCAGTTCCCCTCCCGACAACTTTAGAGGTTTGCTGGTTTAAGGACCACTTTGGTCCCAGTTGCAGGCTGAAAAGTTGGCGCTGTTCTGCCAGGCTCTTTTTCGCCCCGTGTATACCTTTCTGGCAGACAAAAGCCTGCGAGAGAGAAAAGAGAAAAATAAACGTGTGTGCCAAGTTTCAGTGATTTTTTTCTGACTGTTCCCCAGCAGAGAGAGAGAGAGAGAGAGAGAGAGAGAGAGAGAGAAGCAGAATTAAATGAGCGAAAATACCAAGATGCATCCTGTCCAACAGCTAATTTCTGTCTTTGTGTTGCTGTGTTTAAAGGAAGCAACACGAGTGGGCTGGGCCGGTCGTATCTGATCCCCTGTCATTTTACTGTGCCATCACAAGCAGCAATTAGCACCAGTAACATTAAATGACCTCTTTCTGCATTCCTTCCAGTATGGTGTCATGGAGAGCTATGAGTCACAGATCATCATTATGTTTGCATGCTGTGGTGTTTACACAGTCTGGGTTTAGGCTAAACAACGACCCTCTGAAAACGTGTAGATGTTTGTGCTGTACAGCAATAGATGCTGGGCTCAGGAACCAACAAGGCCAATGCCAAGAAAGTGTGGGACTCGGGGAGGAATGTTGACGAATGCTGAAACTCTCTTCCCCTCCCTTTCTTTGTGTATTCCTCTCAACTGTCTCTCGCGCACTCTTGTGCATATACTCGTCCACACCCACACACACACACACAGATTCAATCCGGGCCTCCATCCACGTCCCTGACACAAGTCTTTCAGGGGCCTGCAATGCACACAAAGGCTTCCTATAAGGGGAAGTGGAGCCTGCACTGCTAGAGAGAAAGAAAAGAATGGAATTTATGTAACACTCGAGGTCACAACCTTTTCGGCACTTGTGAGCCGACGGTGTGGAAGTGAGCTGGGATCAGGAGGTTTTCTTACATCAGTAGGAGCGTCTTTTGCTGTAGAAGAGCTTGAGCTGAGCAGGGAGACAGTTGACCCCCTTTTAAACTAAAAAGTTACAGCTCGGTGCTCAGGTCACCCTAAACAAGTCAAGAAAATAGAGTTTCTAGAGGTGCAGATTCAATTCCAAAGAAGCAAATATGCAACAAATGAGGTATGGTGCCATTTTCCACAATATACACAATCTTTTTAATTTGGAGCACTATTTAAGGAGCAGTTCCCTTATTATGTCCATGATGCTGAAGTGGTAGTTCACATCTGCAGGAATTTGAGAGGAAATCATGGTCATCTGTGAGGAACATGACTCTTCTCTCTCCTTCTCCTACACATTTCCATCCGTCAGCTCCACATAGTGTTTTAACTGATGATCATCCTCAAGCGTGTTTAGCATAATTTAAATGCTCCATTATTTTCAGCTAAGATTTCAATTTAAAAATGACTTTCCTACATATATAAAACAAACAAATAATGACAGGGAATGTTATGAAAGGTCAGAATGCTGATGCAGTCTCGTACATACAGTATGTGCCTGAGGGTAAATCCAAGTAACATATGGGGGATGAGGATCCTCTTTGGGTTGGAGCGAACGTTCTGACCCTCCAACCATGAATAATTTGTGGGTCTACTGGCTGAGAGCTGAGTCCTTTTCTCACCCGAGGTTACATTTGAAACAGACAGACACAACAGTGTGGAAGTGTTGGCAAAACACTGGCTTCAATGCTCTTTCCATGATTTTATCAGCAGAATTATCACTTTAAATTAAGATGAATGTGTCATTATCTGATCCATTTTGTGGTTTGGTGTATTTATAGGACTCTATTTGTTCACGGGCTCACTTCCTAGCCTTTTAGAGGGAGAGGATGCTATTGTAGCTCATATCAGTGGTAAATTCACAGAAACACCCTGATGAAAAAACAAAGTCCCTTGCTGTTATTCTTTGACAGCTAGCAAGGGCTTGAAATGAAAGAATAAAAACGGAAAGACAAGCTGGATACTTCCTCCTTTTGATATTCAAATATTTAGAAAATCATATCAGATTCAGACAAGGCAGCACTTGTCCCCGTGAGTACAATAATATCTAGGCCATTGCATCGAAAACAGCATCGCTAAGTGCCTCTCCTGGGGCCCGTCTTTTGAGGTGAGACTCTCATTTGCCCTCATGTTGGCATCTTAACTGGCATTTGAATTTTATTCGAACAGATCAGTTTAGCCAAGGCCTGAGCACATTGTTTAAATGTTCACATAGTAACTCTTCTTTGTTCAAAACATTGCCCTGCAGTCTGAACAGTCAATGGCACCTGCTGCCTGTCACCAACAGAAAGAGACGTGCAGTGGGACAGATTAAAGACTTAGATTCAGCTTATAATGTTGACCCCATGATAAGAGGCTAACGAGTTTTGCAGATGTCCGCACTGTTGCTGCTGAACAACATTCTACTGAACCAGCGCTAAGATGTGTCGTCATATAAACACAGGTGGGGTTTTTAACCGGCATACCTAACTATCACTCATCTTTAGAACACAATGCTTAATCATAGTGTCCATGGTATCGTTGCTTCCAAAGAAAAGGCGGAACCTTCTAAAATGGTGTTTTCACATGACAGTGTTTCTCTGAGGCTTCCACCACATCATGTGCGGCAGCAACTCACTAGATGGAACGGGCCAAAACGTTTTGCTGATTGAGTAAACCCAAAGCCAATAGTGAGTCATTTTAGCAGTTAGATTTGAGGTATTTGCCATATTAAGACTATCGCTCTTTCTCTTTTGCAAACAAACCTGCATGCCCCCCCCACCCGCATATCTCAAGGTAACCATGTTTTTTTTTAAAGTTTACCTAAAGAACTGGGAGTACAGCCAAAGCCTCCTATCAGAGGAAACACTGGCCAACAACAGCTGTGAAAGCCCTCTCCTCCCTCCCTTTTTCTCCTCCCCCTCTTCATTTCTCTTCCTCATTTTTGCATTTGCCTGTTTTGGTGTTTGGTGGCTCCCTGCTCAGTCACCAATACAAAGCAAAGGGCTGTCCTCAGGCTGCAGAGCACAGACAGACAGTATCTGGTGAACTGAGGAAAGGCGATACCGTGGATTCTTGTTATTGCACTAATTTGACTTTCTGCCTTTTTTTCTTTTTATATACAGACAGACAGCTTTGATGGAAGAGCTGAGAGAGAATAGAAATCAAAATAACAAGAGACATTAATGCTAATATTCTGTAGTCACACAATGACACAGTGTCCTTCTCAAATAGAGGAAATACTGCTTCACAATGTGGTTCGCTGTATCTATGTTAAAGGAAATATGCATATCTTGCAGTCATGGGCGTGTCAGTGTGCCAAGTGTTAATCTGCCTGAACACAGGTCATTTATGAGATGTACATAACATATGATATCTGCTCATTCACACACATACACATGTCTACTTGTAATATGTGCTTATACATGGGCTGTGTTACACAAAATTCCATCTTTTTCAGTTTAATAAAGCAGACTAAATAAGAAAACAAGTTTCTGCATGGTGTGTGTGTGTGTGTGTGTGTGAGACTGTATATTTCGTACTTTGCTTTCAGCACTGAAACAGACAGTTGTATTGTTCCTAAATGCTTTTTTAATATTTTTTTTAAATAACGGGCAGCATCACTGTGTGGTCACCCTTTCTGCGGGAATATAGCTCAGAGTAAACACAAGTACAGTCTCGCAATCACTCGCCTCTGTCCGTCAGGTGGACATAGAATGGCACAGCAGCAATATCTGTGCAAGAAAGTTATCAGACAACAAGTATGACGAGACAGCTCTGAGACAGGATAACTACCTCGAGACAGGGTTAGGCAGACCTGGGGAATGCCAGTAAGATAGGATTTACTGCTCAGAGACTGTGTGAAAGGACAGGAATAACAATAACTGTTAGAGGAGGAGGCGTGCGGAGCAGACAAAGAAGAACAAAGAGGGTGTTAGAGAACTGAAAACAAATGAGGCTGATGACACAGACAGCAGGACAAACGTCTGTGCGCAAGGTGGCAGGCAAGATACAAAAGTTACATGGACAGAAATCGGTCATTAGCGAGATACATTCAGAAATGTGCCACTCCAATACACAATATTTAAAAACACAAGGAGCACATACTGTTACTATTACTATTTTGATTTGTATATTATAAAGGCTGCCAGCTACCTTGCAGGCGCCACAGCGAGTTATTGCTTCCTCTGCGGTCGGATTATAATTACAGTCTCACCAAGAAAGCCCACCACGGTCATTAAACTGGTGTGAAGAAGACAATCAGTCCCATAGGCTGGAAAAAACTGATAATGACTTGCTGTTTTTTACGGGGTGCATGTACTTGGTGTTTGTGTGTGTGTGTGTGTGTGTGTGTGTGTGTGTGTAGGTCAGGAGTTATCCAGTGGGTGTGAGAACCTGTGAAATACCCGATTTTGTTTCAGTTCTGCAAATCCTGACATGGTTCCTCATAACAGCCTGCATAGCGTAACTCATGTTTGTTTCATTTACAATTCACAGGTTAATTTACTGTAATAAGAAAGAGGGCCAGAGGCTTTAAATGATAAAAATTAATTAGTAATCTTCATGAGAATCTATCGAGGTAATAATAAATCTTACACAGAAACCAATACACTGAAAGGTCCAAGATCTGTGCCGTATGATATGGATCCCCAGAAATGACGCAATTTAAGTTTAATCAGGCAAATACTTATTGTTACTAGATTCACTGTATGATGGATAGATTTTAGATTACAGACCGATAAAATGTCAAGACAGAGTTCCAACTTTGTGTCTGGCACACACCCTGGCACATACTTGCACTTTTTTGCAATAACTCTGCAACAACAAAGTTGAGCCTGGTACATTTCATGATGCGCTGCAGTGTGCTGTGGTGTTATTACAGGAGTTGGAGCCAACGACAACCCTGGATCAGTACGCTGCTCTGGGGTGCAGTGACCTCCCTGACCCCTCTCAGTCACTTCCTCTTTATATAAGTTTCTCTGGATAGTTTTAATTGCTTTCCAGGGAACATATTTTCAATGAATTGTACTGCTTCACCTTGCTGTGCCGTCACGATGTAGAGTTGATACCAAGCTGATGGGAAGCTTGTCCTGCAATGCTTGGACTTTGTGACTTGGGTATAGGTAAGGTGACAACTTACTGGCTCCCAGACACTGCTTACGTGGGCAAATCTGTCCATCTCCAAAACAACAGAGAGCTCTTGCGTAATTCCCTATGTCAATAAGCCAGATCTGATTAGAGATTTTATGTCCATCATTCCAAAAAGATCTCAAGCATCATATTCTCACGTTTGAACGGACTGTTTTGATTGATGCCAGAGAATGACATTTACAGAATTGAGTTAGCTTTTTTTTTCATCGATCTCACCTCCTAGCAGTGTTGATCCTTAAATCTCCAAGAGCATTTCTTTCTTAAGTGTATCTAATCCAACATAAAAGAGCTCAGTCCTAAGAAAAGTGTCAAGCTGGTGAAGAATCTCTCTATATCAATATCTTAAGAATGTAAGCAGCCGCCTGCCAAACGCTGGCAATCTACACGTCCAGACAGAGACAAAAACAGAGTGTGTCTGCTTGTATGCATGTGTGTCTGTGTGTGTGCTTTGTCTTCATATGTCAATCACCTCAGATTTGTGTGCATATCAAATACATGTCCATTTCCGTGTTACTACGTCTTGGTGCACGTTGGTTCCTTTTTGCACGCATATGTGGATATGAATCTCTCAGTGTTGTTGGCGTCCATGCTTGAATGCTCACCTTAACTGGCAATGCAGTGACTGTGTACCTGTGTGGTGCGTGCGTGCAAAACAAATACGAGTGTTCTTTGGTTTCATAAGTGAACTTTGGACCTCTCGGCTACACGCAGGAGGGAGGCCAATTTAGCTACATTGCTTACCCGAGCCTTTAAACAATGACTGGGATGGTAGATCGTGTTTACTCGCTCTGCTGTGCTGCCTCGAGACCAGGAAAATGACAACTCAAAGACACAATTTGTCTTGTCTACTCTGACCGACTCCAAGTACAAGGGTTCCTTCAAGTGGAAGTATTTCATGTTTGTTTCTCGGAGGAGAGCTTGAACCTTAACTTTGCTGTCAGCCAATCATTTTGCTGCAAAATCCTCAACTTTAAAGAGAATGTTTTATTTGTGGCCATCAAGCTGAGGTGGAATTAATGCTGGCTTTAAGCGTATTGTCAATGGAAATCCCTGACAGTTAGATTTGTTTGTATTTCAAAGCAGCGAATAAAATGTTCCCTATGAGACTTGTCACAACCTCACAACAATTTTGCAATTATTCAAAACCGCTTTGTTTTTGCAAATTGCAAAGTAGTGACACAATTAATGTGATTATTCAGCAGCTACTGCATAACATACTTGCTTAGTTCAAACATTTGCATTAATTACAAAGCAGCATGCTCACTGTTGCTGAGACGCGTTTTCAAGGAGAATCCCATTAGAAAAAGGAGAGAAACTCCCAAGTAGCCTGAAAACCACACTGATGGAAGTGGCATCTCCAAATGTTAAATGAATGCACTGTATTGTCAAACTGTGCATGCTAACTGCCTATGTTTACATTATTCACATCATTGTATTGTCTATGTGAGCTATCACCAAATATGCTGAAGTCTAGTTCTCTTCTGTTCCCTTCTCCTGGACCCTGCTGTAAGTCTACAAATGTGTGTGTGTGTGTGTGTGTGTGTGTGTGTGTGACCAAGAAAAGAAAACTAAACAACTCAAACGGCCAATCACTGAAGCTTATACGACTTGCGTCTTTGTGTGAGGGGCAGGCTTTTTGGCCTTTTGAAGGCAGGATAGGCAGGGGTTCCTGTAAACTCCCAAACAACATCTCAGCTCAGCACTGCACAGCGCTGGATATCACTATGTTCCCGGTTTATTCGGAACAAGCAGCTTTTGATGCTGATCCTTCCCCTGATTGAATCACATCCTTAAATAGTGCTGTTGTGTTACACTATACATCCTGCTGAACTGGTATCATTCACACACTAATGCAAGAGGGAATTTGAATTCCCTTTAAAAAAGTAGGAAGAACTTGATTCAAGCTCTGTAACTAGCCCTTGTTAGCTACCTGCTTTTCCACTCGTAGGGAGCCCTATAGTTTGTTGTATAACTGTACTGTATATCATCGATTACAGATGTTTTTCTTAAGCATGCATACAGTTCATGCTGTGGTCAGGGTCGATAAACCATAATAAGAAACAGTAAATGCACCGTGTGAGGAATACACAGCCATGCAGTGTAAAACATTGCTGAAGATAAATTATAGATATGTATATACACTGATGTCTACACGAATGAAGCATGTCAGAAAAACAAGATTGAATTATTCTATTGTATATTATAAAAGAAAAAACATTCATCCTGGCAGCTGTGGTGAAAAAAGATAAAGAACTACTTTTTTCACTTGGATTCATTCTTTATGAATTAGTTAGCAAGCGTAAACATACATACTTATACATGCGAATCATAACAAACATAATGTAATAACACTTTTAAACATAAATAATTTCATTATTGTTACATGAGTTAACCATTTACTACTTTGAATTCTTGCACAGATTAGGACAGAGGGTTTTAACAAAACATATAAAGCATCCTCAAGGCTGCAATTACTTCTATTGCTTTTTCTTTTTAAATTTACTTGCAATTAACACTAAATAGAGCATTGAGAATGATGATGTAATGTGTGTGTTGATAGCCCGAGGGTACTTGTTTTACAATCTTTGCGCGGGAGGCCGACATCTGGATATACATCTCAGTTTTTTCTCCCGAAGGACATGTGGCTGCCTTAATTGCACTTTCTCATTAACGTTTCTCGAAGCTTTCTTCTATTAAACTCCAACATATTTTCCTTTTAAGACTCAGTAGAATGGGGCACGCACATCTGGCCCTGACCTCGTCTGTCTCTGCCTGTCCTCTGATAGGCGATCCTCTCCACGCAGACAGGCTGAGGAAACATTGCGTACAGTACACCGTGTCCTCTCGGTCCGTCTCTCTGTCTGCATGTGGGACTGCACAGACCTATTGCCACTGGGCTTTCTCAGACTCCAAAGTCCAAGGAGTGGTTATAATTTGTGACCCTATTTGGAAGGGACAATTATACAAGGTGCTGAATATACATGAGTTCCCTGTTTCACCACTCCACAGCCGCTCTTTGAGTTATATCAGCTTCCCCTTTGAAAGAAAGTGAAAAGTGGCCTGTGAATGGTTTTAACACAACTGTATAGCTTGACTAAATTTATGTGCATATTTACATATGAACGCAGCGTAGCTGGATGTCAGACTGCGCAGATGTCACGTCTGTAGCAATCAATCCAGGTTTCAATAGTGTTGCCCCAAGTGAAAACACAAAGAGGGTGGAGTGAGCGTTAAAGATCTGCAGAGTGCATTCACTACCAAGCAGAAGTGGTCCATGTCCTGTTTCTATTCATCTTCCTATTCATGCTTGGAACACAGTGTTTAGGGTCCTGTGTGGGCGCCTATAGGTAGTGTACAGTCCACAATTTAACCAGGATAAATGAAAGAAATGCTTAATTTTGTTATACGATCTCCAGTATCTGTATTCTACACCGTGGTTTTGTAAATGAAAGTTGCCGTACATATTAGATCAGTTGTTATTCTATTATTGCCTTTGAGATTTACATATCTCTTGCTTGAGACAGAGCTTGCTGTGTGGAAATAGACACACTGATTGAATTGTGATCCGAGTCATTCCTGTGGTCTTGTTGAAGGAGAATAATATAATTTGTTTGGCTTGTAGAGATCAGTGGAAGGCAGGCTGATGAAACTTCCTCAGGCTAATAATATGAGTAACTTGGTCGAAACGCGGCCCTGGTCACTGCGATCTCTTACTTAGAGGTGTTAGACAGACGTTTCTTTACTGGGATTTTGCGAGTGGCTTTACAAGGAAGTAAGCGATACGTTTGACGTTTTCTTTTCGAACAACATCAAACAGAAAACTTTTTTTGTAGTTGACAACATTTCACCAGCATGATCATCATAAGACTCGGATTGTATTATGAAGCTTTGGAGATGTCAGGCACCACAGGGCAGAGAGGGATTGACAGTTGGCAAAAAACACAAACAGTTTAAGGAAATGTATGACAAAATAAAATAAATATAAGTAAATTCTGCAGTTAATGCATGTATGATTTATACATCTACTGGTAGAATTCGGTTGAAATATGTCTGTTTTCTCACATGAAGGAATATTTAATGCTCATTCATGTCGCCGTTTGAGTTTGATACACTTTCCTTCAGCCAATGACCGCCAATGACTCATCTGAAATCCACCCGTGGGAAATTAGTCGTTGCTCCATCGTCATCTTGCAGGTGACAAAGGATTCGCTTTAATGCTCAGCGGAGGAGCCTGCTGGAGTCTGTGGGAACTATTCTGTGTTTGGATGACACTGACAGCGATACTTAGCAGGGTGCCTGTCATCCAGTTAATTCCAGATCGTGCTGACAAGGCCAGAAGTGCGTGTGCATGCACATATGCGAGCGTGTGGCGAACCGCACACATCGACATACACACGAGCAAACAAAAACACAAGCGAGCACACAAACACACACCAGGGGACGGCCCATCGAGGGCCCAGCTCCCTCCAGTGTTGTTCCCAGTTGCCGGTGACTTGGGTCACACAGCTGCAAAAAGATGTGGAAGGTGGAGAGACGGAGAGTTTTAAAAGGGAGGAATGGATTGAAAGAAGGAGGTGGTAACATTAGAGTGAGGCGTTCTTTAGAGAAAAATAAAGGTAAGGAAGGAAAGAGGGAATAAGGTATAATGTTATACGTGGCTGAGGGTCAGTTGAGAAAAGAGTTTCTTCCTGTTTCTTTCATCTGTTTAACTCGAACCAAAGACTAAGTGATTTCATTAGTTGTTTCAAGGAAGAATTCATTCATAAAATGACTTATTTGACATGATGATCCTGTTGCTTCTTGTCATCCCCTTACTCCACTTACCTGTTTTCGTCTGTCATTTGACCTTTTGAAAAACGAATGCAGACTGTTTATTGTTTTGTGCTGTAAAGCAATTAAGTGGTTAGACTATAAAGATGCTCAGCCAGAGTTTAGCAGTTCTATTCACTTAGCACATAGCAATTTAAAGACTAATGCAGACTGTTTATTGTTTTGCGCTGTAAAGCAATTAAGTGGTTAGACTATAAAGATGCTCAGCCAGCGTTTAGCAGTTCTATTCACTTAATTCACAGTGTTGAGGCTTGTGGATTCCCTCAAAAATGAGATGCTCCACCTCAAGTGGCTATCGTTTCAATACATTCTAATTCAAAGCCTTCACTTAGCAGATATATTTACGTACAGCACAGATGCTAGCAACCTTCTTAGTGACATCCTTTTTGCTTATAATGATAATACATTATCAAAACCGTTTTTGTTATCAGTTGACCTAAGAAATCGCACATGCAGCACATTTTAGCTCAACAGGTGATATGGTCTGCAAGAAAAAGAAAACCTGCCAACTTAGATCTGATAGCGCGGTATCACCCATTGCTTTGATTCTATAGTATGCCAGCTTTACAGCACTTACGGTAGATTTCCATTTCTCAGCGCCATGACAGTCTGAGGGCTACTCAGGTTAGAAATAGATACACACAACCACACCAAATACGACAGCTGAGGTATACAGTACACTAAAGTAGCATAGGCAGATGAATACAGACAGATGACACTGAACTCTGTAACCTTTTGTTCTGGGACATGATCCGGTCAACAGTGTATTAATCACAGGTGCCATGCAAAGTTGTAGGCATTGCCACTTCTTTGGATCTGAGCATGTTTCGTAAGCAAAAGCTATACCCTGTTTTTTACTCCAGAAATATACACACAGATTTAGCCAATAACATAGTCCACTGCTATTTAACATGACATGGCCAATTGCGTCCACAACCTATGACCTTATGTAGAGCATCCACAGAGCCATTAGTGAGAGCACTTAACTGCTTATCCTGAGAGTCCTATGACTTATATTTCATAGCTGACAATCTTGCGCACACGTTTGCAATGAACAAATGGTAATCTTATGCGCTATGGGGGCTAGACCGTACTGTTATTTATTTTTGGAGGGATGCTGGGTTGGGATGTGAATGTGGCCTGACATGGGTTCACTATGCTGCCATTATCCCGAGTGCACTCATCTGGGTCTTGGCTCTATTTCAGTATTTTCATAGTAAATCTAGCCAGAACATTCTCCCCGTTATAGCACAAGGTAAATCTTTACATTATGGCCTGAAGCTGTCTGGCTTCTGCTGAATCACAGCCTGGTGCCAGATGCTGCCAAGTCCCCAAGCTTGTTAACTGCAATATACTGCACACAGCACCATTAGCTACTGTACTGCTTGTCCTGCTGTAAACTGCTATTAGTTTCAGTGAAGGCTACTGTTAATGAATTTATTATCACCTCGTACACAGTGAAATTAAGTAGAAATTAAGCATTTAAGTGGCCATTTTTCATCTGGGGAAATTGAATCAAGGCAAGTGAGGAGCAGTTCCTGCCTTGTCTTCTTGGTGGTAATGAACAGAGTTTAGCATGTCACCCAAGCAGAATTTAGTAATAGCAATTGAGATGCTCCATAAAGGGACAAATGAGTTACAGTTCCTCACAGATGCAGAAAAGTACAAAACACACACCGACACACACCTGCTTGTGCTGTCCTCTGATTTTCTAACAGCTGCCTTTATGGATATACAGGAGAATGAATGCTTCTATGTTTTCTATGCAAATCATGATTAAAACCCTTCTGTAGCTAAGTACAGCCTAATAGAAATTGGTCTTTTGGTGCCTGTAATTTAGAGTAATGTTGAGTATGTGACATAATGTTTTAACTTTTAAAGCCTTAAACCATCAGCCTTGAAACTTGGTTTTACAGGATGTTTGACATCGAAATTATATGAGAGCAAAAGTCACAGTCACAGCCTCGTTCATGTGCTCCCTTTCTTCGGAGATTCAGGGAAATACATTTCTGTGAACGGCTGTTCCGGGCAAGTAACCCTGAATAATGATCGTGAGCAGTGATTGTTAGAAACTGAACTGAGTGAACCTGAAGTTCAACCGCTATGACACATTTTGTTGACTTCAGAGGGCACATGATGATATTTACCCGGCCAAATTATCGATAATATTTAATTATACATTACTATGAATCTCATTTTCTTTCATGAATATCCATATTCTTCTAAAGGTTATACTGTAGTAGACTTGCTTCTATAAAGCCCCCGAAAGTCATTGCTTGACATTTAGTTTATTATGCTTTTGTCTTCAGAATTTTTACTGCTTTGGCACAAAGGATTACTTTAATTCCTATCTAGTGATAAATGCCAATATGCAAATGCTACAACCCAAAGGATACATTTTCGAAAAGACAACATGCAGAAACTGGTTTTACACAACTTTCTGTCATGTAACACCACACTCGTCTGTGAGTGTTATCTGTACAGAATATCAAATGTCAAAACCTTGCACTTGCCAAAAAGAGGGATTTAATGCAGACTAGAGACTCGAGAACTGTCAAACGTCGAATTGTCAAACTTGAAAGCAGCTTGCAATTAATCATGGCGAGAGCGGCTCACTTTTGCTGTTACACCTTTAGCAGCAGCAATAGCTCTCCAAACATCACTAGATTAATTACAGCCCTCATGACAAAAGAGGTTTACTGGAACTGACAAACCCACTTAATCACAGTTTCAAAGCGTTTACGGGATACACACGCAAATCTTAAATGTTACGAAAGATGCCACTGAACTCATTCATCTGCCTCAGTTTGATTTTACAGACGTGGTCCAACAAGTTCTCTGTGGTGGAGCTCTCCAAATCAATTCCATATAAGTGAGCATACAAGCAAAACAAATCTGGTTCCGGTCGGAAAAGGTCATTACATGGAGAACAAGTTTGTTTCACATGACGCAACAATGGCTCAACTATGTGTTTTATTACACATATTACCTCTGATTAAATGAGGTATGGAGATAGGCATTGTCCCTTTCAGGTAAACTCAGAGAAAGATCTTTTGCTTTGTCTGCCCAAAACAGAAACTCCAGCAGTGTTGAGATGAAACGATTCCCTTTCAGGAAACTGCCATTTTCATTGTGACTCCGGGGCATTGCGTTCAACTGGATTGGAGACACATCATACGAGTGCTAGTCAGAGCATGGCACTCACAGTTATGGCTGGATATCCAGAGGTATCGCCAGCCCTCAATGGTCTCTTTGTGCTTTGAGAACACAGTTGCTGAGAACAAAACAGCAACAGAACAGCGAACAAACAGTCAGACGACTCCTGCCTCTTGAGCAGCCCCTTCATTTGGAAGCCAAGATGGGACACAGTCAGACGCGTCCCACTGAAGTCGCACATGTTGGGGCTATGCCACCTTCTCCCAGGACGCTGTGCGCCCTCCGCCTGGCCGAACCGCCCCACAGATTCTGCTGCCACTACCAGCACTTCAGCTATCCGGAGAGAGCTATGAGTTACTTGCCCCCTTACTCACCGAGTCTGTTCAAGAGGCCAGATCGGCGGTAAGTGGGGGACAGCGGAGGAGAGTCTGAGAGATGCAGTATTTGTCATGAAATGGCTTGAAGTTAATGAAATTAATCTTCTTTGTATCAGCTGTCCTTAATACGTTATTATGCCTCTATAACACATTTTCATTTCTCTGACATAAAACATGTCGACCTTGTTGAAAATTCATCTTTTGAGTTAATAACTAATTGTTGGCTGCAGCGTTTAATGCAAGCATAACATGATAACTCTGGCAGCCCTCGGATAACAATGTCACTCCGGTCATCATTTTCTGCGTGTACTGCATGTTTGATACAAGCTATCACATACAGTTACATCACATGCAATCCAAGGGCAGAAATTGACAGCCTGATACATTTATTGAAAAACCTCACCAGCAAGACCAAGGCCATGTGCCTCATTTCTATTCATGGCTCAGGAGACTTATAGGTGATGCGATAGTAATGAGCGCTCCTGGGTGTCCTCGTGTTTGTGGAGTGTTCAGTATTCATTGGTTGTAACCGCTCCTGTTGCCCACAATAACAGCTTCCTCTGAGACAGCCTCTGGCTGCAGCCTATGGCAGGGCTGTGTGCTCTCGGGCCACACTCTCCTACACGCCATGCATTCCTGATTATGAGAGTGCAGATGGGACACACATAGTAAAGAAAAGACCTTTTGTCCAAGAAGAGCTCTCAAACTGATAGATTTTGTTTTCTCTTTGGATTTGACCACCGGTGTTTCTTGTTGGGCTGCATTGTGTTCATCTTGAATTTGGTGCGACCAAACCCCAAAAAACACCAGACGTTGGAGGCATGTCTCAGCTTCATTCTTCTTCAGCCGTTGGTGCAGATGAATCACAGTATTATATAACGCGGTTGGCTCTTGCATCGGGTGGGACATCTGATGGAAGACGTGGCCCATCGCTTGGCTGTGGAGTGACTCACTGGATTTGGCGCTCGCCAAACATGTTCAGGCAGCAAGAGTTCCACAGAAATGCAAAGGCTTTACTTCTTGAAATGGCAGCGATGGTCAATATCTGTGGCGCTTAAACTGTTTAGAAACATGCAAACACAATTTAAACTAGAACTGCTTATTTTGTTTGTACTTGTTAAGATTTGTGTTGTAGCGGACATCAAGTTTAGGGCTTCCTAATTTACATTGTCACCGTCTTACTGCATGTGGCTCATATATTCTACTTGAACCATGCAGGAAGGCTCCCCACTGTATGTAGTCTCTATCTGTGCACCTCAGCAGAACCACAGGCAATTGGTTTGACTCCCCTCTATCCTAAATGGGACTATCACAGCGGGGCAAGGTAATTCAACAGCCCCTTGTTGCCAGAACAGGGTCTGATATTAAACCTGGCAGCTGTACTCCCACAGCACAAAATTTGAGACGACAGGCGCTATGGGCCCTAATACCCAGTCAATGTGCTTTCTGCTTAGCCTTGTTAGAACTACCAACAGTCAGACTTTCCACTCTAATTATTTTGTTACATAACAGAATTCCTTTTTTCTCCAAAGGACGTGGCAGACCTTAGTTTGCTATGCAATGATCAAAGAGTAGGCTCTTGGTCATTTGTTATCATTTTAAATCCATGTTTTCTTTTTCTATGCAGTGCGGCCTCTTTTAGGAAATTTGAAGTATATATATATATTTATTTAACTGCATTTCATAGGATATGCATGAACCAAATTGAATGGCTACTAGTATTTAGGCGTAAGACCCGATCAGCTGAGACTAGCCGGTAAAGTTCTAAATGTTGTTGCTGCTCTGGAAGTAAAATTATTATGCAACAGAGGCTCCCTAATAAAAAATGAATTGGCTTACTATCAGTATTGGATTAGATAATTGTAACAGCAAAAGGCAACGTAATGTGACAGCAGAGAGGCGCTGAGAAATTATATTAAAGCTATTAAAACCTGCATGGATGCCTCGCTGAAAACAAGGTCTGTTGCTCAATAGAGCTGCCAGCACTCAGTGGAAAAATGTTGTGAAAAGATAACAGATAGCATCTCTGTTTTTCACTGTGGTTGGCTTCTAACACACATTGTTTATTACACTTTGCAGGATGCTCAGCACAGTTGCGCCACATGTTGTAAAATGCCAGTTCAAAAGTGTATGTGAAGTGCAAGAGGTCATACACTAGAGACCAGTGCTTTGGACTCATTCCTGTATGCCCTGCCAATGAGTGGTGTGGATAGTCATACTCAATAGAAGTTGTGTGCAATTAAAACTAACAAGAAGAAGGCTATGCTATGCAAACATTAAAGACATGAATAAATGAAGGAATGAATGAATGATTGTCCTTTAAGAATTTGCTATGTCATTTCTAAGTAGGAAAAACAACTTGGAGTTGTTGATTTGTGGAGGCAGGAAAAGGTGTACGGAAAATTCCGTGGTGAACACCGTGTCCAGAAACAGAGCCTTTGTTATTGACATTGTCCCTATGGGATGGTGTATTATACGTTTTCACCACTAGAGACCAATAGAGTTCAGGTATAGACTGAGGGGAAATGTACCGGGGAGAGGGTGGAAAAGTACCTTTGTGGAGTACCTGTGCATGTGTGCATAAGGTGCAGGACATTCCGTTAGAGCATGTAGCTTTCTGTAACAAACAACAATAAAGTGATGGGAACAACGAGAACAGTATTGTTGTAATTACCGTGTAGTAATAAAGGACAGTTTGCAGACTTATCTTAAGTTGTACAATTGTACACGTGGCAAATCAAGAACTACTAAATTGCTACTTCTTTAAAATCACATACTCTAAAAACGTTTGCTGAAGAAGTTGCTTGATTTAATTGAATTGATTCACGTTAACATCAGATTCTACGAATCCTCACCACATGCGCCCTTCCTGTGCCCAAATCGAGTTTTTTATTTTATTTACTAGCAACATGAGTGACTTGTTTATGCAGAACTACTGAGATTACATTTGTTCGGATGATGGTTAAGAGGATAGTTGTTGCAGTGAGGACGGGTCTCGGTCTGTGGGTTAACTGCAAGAGCCAGTGTGGCAGAAGAAAAGTTCAGAGGCAGGACACACGCGATGCTGCATTCAAATGCTCATCTAAAACTTGTGTTTGTAGAGTATTCCTTTTGTTTACTAATAGTAAGCTTTAATGCAACCTACAATGTATTGTTTTTACTGCATTCGTTTTGTTTTATAAATGAACTGGTTGAAAGGGGTATTTTGCACATTTCATTGCAGAATAAAGATGTAAAATGCAGTGATTTAATGGAACGATAACACTGAGTTGTTTTGTCTTTGATTGGTTGTTGATGAGATATCCTTCTGGCTATCATAATCATAAAATACGAACAATAAACATACAAACAAAATAAAGTAAAAACTCTGCCGTACTATCAGATAAGCATTGAATATGTCAATGGAGCCCACTTTACAACTATATGACTATTATATTCATAATCTGTTATATATGTTTGTACAGTTGTAGACGTTTTAAGAAAGCAGCAAAATACTACGAGAGCCAGCCTCGTGCATACTTGACTATAATCGCAGGCGTCTGTTATCTCCCCCCTTCAGGTTTATTGTGCAAAAAGTTGAGGCGGGACGTATCAGTGGCCAGGTCCTAAATCCATGTTTTTTTTCCCTGAGGCAAGGGAAGGCACCATTAACCCCAACCCGCCGACTCATTTGACTAATTTATGCGCGCGTCGGATGACGTCACGAGGCAAGCCATTCAAATAGCAGCCGGTGGCAGAAATAGCATCAGACAGTCGCTCGTTTAAACCGGCGAAGCTTATACACACACACACACACACACACCGACACAGCACTACGCTCAGCTAACTGCAGCGAGTGAGTGCATCGCTACGACGGAGACGAAACACATCCGGATATACAGTGAAACTACCAGTCGCAAACGTGGCGAGAAGCGTGATCCAAACGAGTCTGGTACTCAACATGAGCGCGGAGATGTTCGGCAAAACACCCATGGAGGTGGCCGTCTACCAGTTACATAACTTCTCCATCTCGTTCTTCTCCTCTTTCCTGGGAGGAGACGTAGTATCGGTGAAACTTGACAACAGGTAAATATCCGACACAGTCGCCCACATGTTGATTTGCGTTTTGTTTCTTTTAATAATGCGCTTGGTTAGTTATGAATGGGAGCAATGAGCGCGAGCCTTTTTTTTTTTTTGTTCCTTCTTCTCTCTGCAGGCCTCCAGCCAGCGTTACTGTATTTCCATAAAGCCGTTCAAAACAAATGCGCTCGTGTGAAATGTCTGATATAACGTGTTATTACAGAAGTCTGTGTGCTCAGCTATCTCTCCATCTGCTGTTTATTTGGACTTTAAACTGATATCTGCGTGGAGCCGTTCACAGTCTCCTCTCACACACACACACACACACACACACACACACTGTACTCGTTACACTATCACCTTAATAAAAGCCTGATATTACTCACAAAGCTGTAGTGTATACAAAGACTACATTAGGTAACAGCGGGGTAAACAGTTTTCCTTTCTCTTTTGCAAGCTTTGTGTTTCGCTGACAAACGCAAACCAATAAAGGAAGCAGCAACATGTTTCTTTTCTTAATAGTTACACTTTGGGGGTTGAGTTGACGTGAAGGTAACGGGCAGTTGTGGCTTTGAACTGTTCATTTATGGCCTCTTTTTCTCCTCTCCTGCAGTGCCTCTGGTGCTAGCGTGGTGGCCATCGACAACAAGATCGAACAGGCGATGGTAAGCCAAGATAATGTACACAACATGCATGTCCAACCCGCTGACCTCCTCTAACCTCCCAATTCATTCTGCACAAAACCAGCTCTTTATGAATGCCCAAGGCAGCTATGTGAAGGCAGCACAGGCTACTGTGCTGCCTTCATGTGACAGAGTAGATGACAAGAGCAGGGATTTCACAAAAAACAAAACAAAGACTGACAACTATTTTGCAGCACAGAATTATTGAAGACAGCCTTGAGTCAAAGTTGTAACTTGTACTGTATCTTACAAGAGATCCAGCAAATAGACTAACTGCTGCAGAAGATTTGCTCTGACAGCATCAGCTGTGCAGCCAAGCAGAGAGCATTTATCTGCTTTTATATCTAAACTGATCCATTTCTGTTTCTTTTATTATGACAGGATCTTGTCAAGAACCACTTGATGTACGCGGTGCGTGAGGAGGTGGAGATCCTCAAAGAGCAGATCAAAGAGCTGGCGGAGAAGAACAACCAGCTGGAAAGGGAGAACTACCTGCTGAAGAACCTGGCCAGTCCAGAGCAGCTGGAGAAGTTCCAGTCTCGCATCCCGGCAGACGTGCTGCTACCCCTGGACAATCTGAGCGCCCAGGTGACCGCAGACCTGCAGCAGCCCTGCATTCACAGCACTGGCTCTGCTGTATAAGTGGCTCTGCCTTGGGGCGGGCAGAGCCACTGTCTCTTTACAGTAATGGACCTCCATTTTGAACGTAAGCGTTACAAAAAATCGCAGCCGCCGAGAACCCTTCGCAAACAACGAAGGTGAAGCATCGGGGCTGTAAATGACCGATGGGACACAAAAGAACCGTTGGGCACAAAAACAGAACTTAAGACGCTCTGACCGGTGCGGTGTCAGGCCCGGGCCTCCGATACCGTCCAACTCTTTGTCGTAGTCTCTCTGTGTAGACAAAAGCGCTGAGAATAGAGAGAGGGCTGACTATGCACCGACGAGCGCTTGCTTTCAGACGGCAGGGGGGGCTTCCCCTGCCTAGCCCGAACCCGTCCAACAAACACCCTTTGCTCCAGAGAGGGTGGTGAGGAGGTGTCGATCAGGCTGGCCCTGCAGGTGCTAACTTGGAAAGTGTTGGGGAGGTTGCTCCCCGGTCCTCCACGTCTCAACAAGAAGAGCCCCGTCGTGTGGATTTGTCGTCTTCCCCCCCCCCCCCTCGGCCACATAACGAGGACTTTCCCTGTGCCTAAAATGTATTGCTCGTGTGTTCATGTACATCTAAGCATAACAAGAATAATCATCAGGATAAGCTAAGGCAACAGAGGTGGAGGTTAACGCAGTACAGCCGGTTAGAGCTGATGGAGTCAGCTCTAACCGGTCACACTGGTCAGTGTGATGCAGTACACTGACCAGTATGCTGACATAATTCATAAAATGTAATCTTGCATTGCCAAACAGTTGGGGCTTGCTGCTTATGGGGGAAATTAATCCTGCTATATTTTGGGTTTTTGTTTGTGATTCTGAACAAAAATCAGTTGTTTGTAAAATAGGATCATTGTGCAGTGGTCTTAAAAGACTTTTTTTTTTTTTTTTTTTTGTAATCTTGGGGGACAGGCATATGTGCCCACTTTGTCTGCCTAGCGCCTCACAGTAAAGGGTAACTACAATGTACATAAAGTTGAAACGTCCTGAGGTGAACCAGCATTTGTTGCTGCAGATGCACTCCTGATTTTAGCAGCATCGTCCAGTATCTGGTCTGTTACTTGCTCAGGCGCCAACTGGAAAACGATGGCATGACAACATTGCCTGCCCGTAGTAAGAGAGGAACACATCTCCACACTGAACTCTGTTGTTGTTGTTTTCTAGCTACCAAAGACTTTTTGCCCTTTTTTGTTTTGTTTGTTTGTTTACTCACAACAACTGAAGCCACGCAAACCAGGACCATGTGTAAAACGTCACAGGGAGAAGACTATTTTGTAGCTAGTGCTAAAGTTTGTATGTGTTTTGTAAAGATAACGGTATTGTTGCTGTAAAGTATCCTCGGAAAAGTTGTTCACTATGGTGTTTGGATACAACTGCACATTTGCAATAAACCTTATGTTTACATAATACAGTATGTTGACACACTGTCTTTTGTTCATCAACTGCACCAACATGCACCAAAAAAAAAAAAGAATGATTTTTGATTTAATATGCGACACCACCCCAGACTCAAAGTTAAGTTAAATGATATAATGTTGAAAATACAGTATCTATTTCATTGCCTTAACTTAACAGTCAGGGAAGACGGATAATGTAGCTGCAACAACACCCACGATGACTTCATTTTGTGGCGCTAAAATAAGAGAACCACTGAAATCCTTCTCATTTGCATTCCAGGGTAAACAACACATTGTCTGTTTGCAAAACTGGTAGGTGGTAGCAACTCCATCAGGGTATTTAATATACGATATTCATGCTGATTTCTGTTCAGCTTTGAGTTTGACGACGTCGGTGTGATGAGCGATTTGTAAAATTCAACACAATGTTGCAGTGAACCACAAGGCTCTGACTTCAGACAAAGGTACTTTTCCTTTTGCATGTTGCTCCTCAGACTGAGGAAAGACTCGTCTCACTGTCTCTGACTTTGAAGAAAGACGTACACAAACTTTTTCTTCTCTCCCCAAAGTCAAAAACAGCGTGACCACCAATGACATTGAAGTAATAATAGATGGTTGCAAGAGGATTGGAATCTGCCCGAGTGAAAAAAAAAATAAAACAGTTTGTCCTAGTAGCATTTCCCTTCAGACAGATTGGCAGCCAGTCAGTTCAGTCTGTGTGTAACTAGATATGTTGCGGCTTCCCGGGTGTGTACACCAGGCTCACATCCATCTATAGCTGAGAACAGAGAGTCTCGGCTCGGGCCAAGAATCACCACCATATAAAAAAAATAGCTCCAGAGAAAACACGGTGTCTTCCCCATTGCTCAACTCTTTCCCCATGAAACTGGTCCCTCCCAAAATGACTGATTCCTTGTGATCAATATCGCTGCTCTCAAATACTTTGTGCATTGAATTAGTGGCAGGCAGGATGTGCAGCGCATTGACTGAGGAGGACATTGGTTCAATGTAGCGAAGAGAAGGGAGACGGCATAGACAAGATAATTGGAGTCAATCGTTCTACTTCTGAACTAAATACCCAAACACCTTGTGCATGTCAATGAAAAGAGGCTGCAGGGTCGGCTACAGCAGGAAGAGGTACTGAAGTTGAATCACACTTGTGCTAATGGCTAAGGCAGCCTCACACACAGTGGAAGAATTGCTCTTGCTGCACAGCTAGCGTGTACACACCACAGGCTCTAGAGGCTCACAAAAAGTCTTCAGACAATTTTGACTTTGTTTTGATTTACTATTTTGGCTTTAACACTTGTTTTGTCATTCTATTTTGGGGAGCCATTGAGGAACAGTGTGTTCAAGAAGAATCATCAAACATTGATCGCACCCCTGGTTCAAAGCTCACTCGCTGATGTGCAGGACGTGTTCACATTCATTCGTTAAGTCTAGCACCCATTTCTCGCTTCCGGCGGACTTTCTAGAAAAGGCAAAAAACGCAGCAGATCTGAGTCAAAGCATCAGTGATTACGCATCACTTCCTATACATACAGTGTGGGAAGAACCTTAGGTGTGGAATTCGACTTTAGATTGGCGCTTGCTTGTAACCAGGCAGCCAAGAGAAGAAGAGTTTGTGTTGGATTGCTCGTGTTATGCAATGAAAAAAAAAAAAAAAAAGAACATCTGTTTTGGATGGAAATTCAGGGGTTGTGCTGGGATAAGCGGGCTCTGCCTCGATGTGGTAGGGATCGCATGCAGGGGAATAATTTGGTCTGACTGCTTTTCGTGGATACGTACACAACTTGTGTGTCCTCTGAATGTCAGAATATTCATCATGTCAACATTAAAGCAAAAGCCGAATGAGACAAATGTCAAATTTCAGCTGTGTGCCATACTGCAATGCAGTGTCGTGCTATTTCCAAAGCAGTTCAAAAGAGCTGCAAATTGCCGATGACAGACGCTTGTATGATATGGAAAATGTGCCATTATTGCTCTCGCATAAGAAACCTGATTACTAGCTTCAGGGACACAAGACTTTGCACAACTTAAAAACATGACTTACTCCACAACTCTTATTTTATCTGCTGACAGGGAAAAGTCTTTAAAGTGGGTGTTAACATTGACCTCTGCAGGAGAGAGGGTCAAAGAACAAAAAACAAGACAAAAGTTCAAGCAGGGGTTGGTTACAACCTGTCAGAGCCAGATTTCGTCATGTATTTATCTCTGCCTGGTCATGACTGTCAGCCAACGTCTTCACCCGTGTGATGTCCAGTGGACACGGCTCTTTCCTCTGTCACTTCCTCAAATGTACAAAGTTCAGCCGCACAGACAAAGCCTTGAATCATTGGCTAAGCATTTGTCTATATCTGATGTAGCTGTGTGTCCTATTACACATTTATTTTTGTCCATTATTATAACATAATGGGCCAAGAAGTAATCCTCAAAGTTGTCAACATTAGAAATGAGGTCAGAGGGTTGACGTGTGTGGGTTTTTTGGCTGAAAGATAGGAAAAGAAAAGTGCTTGCTCTGCTAGTTTTTGTGGAAATTAACTGTTAACACAAAATTGTTTTGAAATTTAAAAAGGTCACAGCTAATTATTTTGAGACATCCTGTTTGGCAGCATTGCTAATGCTATTCGGAGGAGGAAGCTGACGAACCCATGTGAACCCGAGTACACACAAGGGAGTCTGTGGTTGAAGTGTCTGGAGGTTGTCATGCTTCTGGAAAGGTGAATGTGAGAGTCTAACCTAAATCCAAGCTGTTGGTTTGATTTATTATAGTTACCGGTAATAAACCCCTGTGTGTCTAGTAATGTGCTACAACATGAACAAGACATTTTGTCTTCTGAACAGTTCACCTGTGATTAAAAAAAACAAACAGAAAATATTTTAGAATCTTGGACTGAAAACTCTCGAAATGCATCATTCGGTGTCATTTCACCACAATCACAAGATATATGAAATCTGATTTGGTTGTTTTTCAGAATAACTGAATATAAAAGACAGCTAAATTAAAACAGCACAGCCAGCGTTTTAGTTGCTCGTGTCTTGGCTAGTGAGTGAGTGATCCCTTGAGAACCTCTTGTATTTTTTCTTGATGCTCTTCGCTGTGTCTGTATCCCGACTGATCAAAGCCGCTTTGGAATGCGGCCAGCTCAGGACATCTCATTCATGAAGACAAAAGGTCAGGAGCCACTAGTATTGGATTCATGTGATACCCCGGGTTCATGGCAACACTGCACAGCAAGAGCCTGCACATAATGTAAAGGCCCGCTGACCTCCACACTAACATGTGACACATGCAGGGGCAAAGGGGAGATGGTTGCATAACCTGTGTAATACTGAAAATGTTCTTTTCTCAAGCTACGCTCCTTCATACCAGTCACAAGATTGTCCTCATTATTGTTTGACATATCAGGACACTGCTGAAAAGAGAATTTATGTAAAATAAACATTAAATTCAAAACGAACCAGGATTTTCTACTTCTAAAATCAAAAACAGGGCTTTGTGGTTTTCGGGAGAACTGAAATGAAAACGTCTGACAACCAACAGACTTTATGGGAACTGGATTTGTATACAGATTTTTCAAGACTTATACAAATCAAGTACAAAACACACAGAAGGGCCAAATTGTTGTGCTGCACACTGCAGTTCAGTGCTGCACGGGTGTAATTCTGAAAAGGCAATCTCATGATCTATATTTAACATCTTTTATACGTGACACAAGCAATAAGAATGCAAGTGAACATTGTAAGAAATTACATATGTTGAAGTTTTTATTCTTGGCAATACGAGGGTGGTTGCTATGCCTTCAGTAAACCTCTACTAATGTACAAAGACAGTGTTGAGTTCAAGGCACAGTGTACTGCAGCATGTTTATGGTCTTACTACTTTCTACCACAACAGTTATTTGATATTGTTTTGGAGAGATTATGCACTCTCCCTCCTCCATTGTGGTCTATTTGTGTGACTGTGTGTGGTAAACATCCCTAGTCCTCTGTACTAGTTGTGGCCCATGTGAAGAGAGCTGTCAGTGGGCTGCAGGAAGTTTAAGATGTAAACAAGGCAGGAAATGAACTCCAGACAACCTTGGGAATACAGTTGTGTTATAGAGAGCTGGTGGAGGGTTTGCCTTTGAGTCGCTGGTACACACACGATAAAGAGAAATAAAAAGTTCATTGATAACGTGATAACATTTTGAATACTGTCTGTTACATGTGGAAAGATCATAAAAGTGATCGTCGATCATGATCTTTATGGTAGACAGACTTTTTTTTTTAAATGACAGCATCAATAGAGACATTTGCTACAATTTAATGTTCAGGCTGAAGAGGGAGTTCCTCCCTCTTGTACAAAATGAGCCGTTCTACCTTCTTGACATCGACACAATGTTCCCAAATCCGGGTTTAGTCTCTTTTCATTATGTGCGGTTGGGTGGGGTTGGCTGGGTTGCCACAGAAGCAAATCATGGGCGGACATGGCACGCATATCAACATGGAACAACAGATGATGATAATAACCATTATACCGTGACTGTCCTATTTCTGTTTAGAAGTGAGGAAACACCTTCCTCTGTTGGGACATGCAGTGCAGGAAATAACACAAACAAGTGAAAAAAATACAGACAATTTCATGCAAGACGAGCGCAGTAGCAGTTACTGCTCAAATGTACCCTAAACATTTACTCTCTCAACACTGTTGTAGTTTCACTGTTGTAACATGCTTCTCTGTTACAAGTGGTGTTCACATTTTTGTCATTTCTGTCATTTTGGTTTGCGTGAAAAATATTCACTTATGATTTTTGAAGCACAAAGGCAGAAGTAAAAAGCTAAAGGCAGATTCATGTTCAAAAGAGAAATGGAAATCATAGATTTGAATGTTTTCACCTGTGCTTTTGCCACTGTGACAAGTCAGAATATACCGTCTGTGAAAAAGGCCTAACCGCATTGCAACAGCTTTGGAACAGTTGCAATGCAACAAATGAAATGGCTGAAATGGCAAATGTATAAATGTAAAAATATAGCA